GACTTTTAAAGACTCTTTAAAAATCTTGATTGAATACCACCGGACTTTTAAAGACTCTCTAAAAGTTTGAATTGAATACCTCCAAACTTTGAAAGTTCATAAAAGTCTTTAAAACTCTACGAAAGTCATGACTGAATACACCCCAAAGGTTATTTTGGAGCATGATGTCACACCTGACGTCATAACTACCAATTACACACCACAAAATATCTCAACTTACGTTGTAGAAAACATTCATTATTTACATTATTTATTTATTTATTTATTTGTTTATAATGTCGTTATCTATTGTTACGTTGTTTTAATTTTGTGATTTTTCAGATCATGATATCGACAATTTGTAATCTAGATTAATGATTTCGTTTGTATATATACAATTATCATGAAAATATACTACTTTAATTTTTTTTTTTAAAATAAAGTTTATTAAATCTTTTACGTCATACATGACTTTACACAATCAATTTGATGGGACACAAAATAAAAGGTTTGCAAATTTAATTTGTGTATATATCCAATAATACCATAATAATAGAAAATGGAAAATAATTAAAAAAAAAAAAAAAAAAAAAAAAAAAAAGAGGAAAGAGATTGAAATATGAATGGTTAGTAATAATTTGTTAGACATCTCTTTTTAAACCTTCCATTCCATTCCATTGATCCAAGACTATAGGGTCAATGTGTGTCATCCTTGCGAATCTTAATAGATTTATTTAATTTTGAGTGGGCAATATAATGCAAATCACTTCTTTTCGGAATTAGGCAATGACATGTTAGCCTTTTATGCTTGGTTTTATATTGCTTCATTCATCTCGTCAAAGATGTTTGGATTGTGGTTGTGAAACACAATACCACTTACACATTACTTGCCTCAAGTGAGATTCAAACCTATCACTTCCCACTTAGGGGAGTGACCAAGTACCAGCGGACCACAAGCCACTTGGTTACAACAGCTATAATTAAGCATAAAGAATTATAATTGACACGTTAATTATTTGATGAATGTGTAAAAAAACAAGACAAAAAAAAAATAAAAAAAAAATAGACATCCAAAACGGAGTTTGTTAACTCCTAGCTCAGTTCTAAGAATAATCACAAACTATCTCTCACCCAACTCATATTTTTTAAGAATTCTCGTAAGATCAGAGAATGAAACATATATGTAGATTATCAAAGCCAAAGCACTATCATCTTCCAATTTATACGTAGCTCTATTTTATTCTATAATCTTCACTTCTTATTCATGTTCCATTAAGTGTTTCCTTTCCTTAAGCTATTTGATTGTAATTACACAATCGACGTTCCCTTAAGACGTACATTTGATTGCCATTATATATTGCACAATTGGTCTCAAGTTGAACATGCGTAAAATTATACTTTTATATATATATATATATATATATATATATATATATATATATATATATAAATCCGAGGAGATCTTTGTCAAATCAAAAATTTTGTAATGTCTTGTATTTGTCTTTTCACCAGACTAGCTAATTTTTCAAAACCTCCATTAATCTTTATAGCTTGAAATAAGACAAGCTTTTATAACCCTCAAGAAAAAAGTGAAAATAGAGAGATCCATCTGGTATTGGATTTAATTGATTTTGCTGATTTAAAGGTGTGTTTAATTATTATGAAACCAATATAATTACGAAAATGGGAGAATATTAATATTTCACAATATAATGTAACTACATACCAAAATTATTATAGTCAATCTAGTTATAATTTGAAATAGAAAACCAATTTTTATCTCTCATAATAAATACACAATACATGAAAGAAAAATATAGCTAGGCCACTCTAATTGAGTTGGTCTGACAGTTAGGCAATTACAAAGTTTAAGTTGGACTTTATGTGGAAGTTACCTATTGACCTTCTTAGTTTGAGGCAACTCGTAGTTCTTTGTCGGTTAGAATCATAAGACACTTCACACAGAGTGCACATTCGTGATTATCAACTATAAACAACCTAAATTATTTGATTTACTTTTTTGTGATTATTTGCTAGTTATTAGGATCACAAGATGAGCTTCCCATAGACTGCGACTTTAATTTGGATAACGGCTACAACCTTTCCCATAAATCAAAGAAAAGCATAGCCTTGTATCATCATTTCTTATATATCAATTCAATCATTTTGGCTTGTTTGGTAAAATAGTTAGACTATAAGTCAATTTTGGCTTATTTGACCATTGTTAGTTGTTTGACTTGGTTTAAAAATTAATATATAAGTGTTTGGTTAATTAGCTTTTTGTACTTCAAAATGCTAAAATTTAAAAAGCTACTCAAAGAAACTTTTTCAATTAGCTTTTTGATAAAAGAAATTATATCAAACAACTATCAGTTAACAGCTAATTTACCAAACACCTTTTTACAATCAGCTAATGTTATCAACTAGTTATACCATCCAATTAACCCAATTAGCTAACATCTAACAGTAATTTACCAAACAGGGCCTTTATATTATCCGATCCTTATCTGCACTCAATATCCAAGACTATAGGTCAACCTACATTAGCTTGTGAGATGTGAATCGTGATAATAGATTTAATCCTTAACCTGTTGAGTAGTGGTATATATACTGGTGATATGATTTTAGTGGGTAAAAAGTTAGTGTTCATACATATGTTGTTGTTGTCATGATTAGAACGTTAATAACATGTGCGCACTGCGCTTCATTTAATTTCTATCATTAATGGATATAACATAATTACCCATAAAAGGATCAACATTGACGCTAATGCTGTATGAGGAAGAAAACATGGCGGAGAAAATAATCATAACTTTGTAGATCAGATCAGATGGATGCATCTTGAATTGGTTCATCTTCAATTCACTCCGTGTGGTCACTATTTAGCAGCTAAGTTCATAATATGATATGATTTGTCGATCTAATTAGTGTACCTTTGTCACATCAATATATATGTATTTTGTTATATTATTTATGAGCCAAACATCTAATATACATACCATTTTCTCTTCTTTTTTTTTTTTTCTCTCTGTCGCTAAACATATTGTCAGTACTAGATTTATTGCGATAAGGAGATTAACACGAGTGGATTTCGAGACTTTTTATTTTTAACATAATGATGAAATATTTGATTTTTAATGAATAATATGTTTAATCAAAATCAAATCCAAAAAGATAAAATGATAAACCTATCTTAATCAATAAAAAGAAATCACCCTTTCCCTTCCCTCCTATGGGCTTGAATGGTCATTACAACACAAATAACCTCAAGTTCCTGAGGTCAATATCCTAAAACAAATGGTTTTAAAGTTTTGTTTTAATTCACACCAAATGGTAAAATAATCAGCATTTATTATATTATATATGATACATAATTATTTTGTGCTGAGTACTTATTTGGAGATGATGAGGTTATACATAAAGATAGCAATGCCCGCTAAATTCACATGGATTCAACCCACATCGATTAACTCAGACACATCTCATATTTTATTGTGTTTGGCGGTCCTGTATACGAGGCTATGTCAGGCCACCTCCATGTAATGTGGCTTGGCCAAGGCCTACATTAATTTTATTGTTTTCCTGTTTTTTTTTTTTTTTTTTAATTTGAGTTTGTAGGTTAAGAATGTAAAATTTCAATTTCTTGTAAAATTGATTCCAAAAACTTATATAAATAGTTTCACACTTAGATTGGTAATTTACAAGAATGTTTATATATGTAATTATGTATTATGCAGTAATTATTTAACTTGTATAATTATAAATTTTCAAATTGTAAATTTCTAATTTATAAAATATAAATTTTAACTTTATAAACCTTATTAATAAATATCAAACCCTTTCTACAACATTTCTCAAAAATCAAAATACATGTATACGATCCAAGTCCAATAATGCTATTAGGAGTTTTGCATTTAGTTCATTTTAATTGTATTGGATATATTTATAGATGATATTCGAGAAATTCAATCATTAATTAATTGTAATATAATGTGTATATATTCACCATCTTCTTAGTTCTTCTCCCAAAAGGTTGAATCCTCAACCTTAATTAAGGGCCTCCACATCTCGATCCGATAGAATATGTGGGAGGAGGTAAATCACAGTAACTCAGGGCCAAATTAAATGTCGGTGCACGCAAGGAATCCTCACACTGTCGCTGCTGAGTTTCAAACATTGATCTCTCTTCCCAAATACTGCCTACTAAAACACTGAGCTAAGCCCGGCATATATTCAACATCTTGAGAAAAAGCATGAGTAGTTATTAAATAAATTGAATTGAAAATAAGTACACAACTATGAAAAATATACCTAACCTCATGAAAATAAGTACACAAATATGAAAAATATACCTAACCTTTATGAAATTAAACTAGTATCACTTGTATTTTGTATTTAGTTTTTAGAAATGTTTTATGGATTTTGGACTTTAATTTGTTGTTACTTTTACATATTGTGTGGCTTTTAAATTTGCACAAGCATGAGTTAGATAATTGTTTTTGTCATAAATGTTGTAAAGAGAATGACCTTGCCAAATCCAAGAAGTTGGGCAATTATATTTTCATTTGATTTAAATTTAATTTGCAAATATAGAAAGAAAGAATGATAATCTCAAAAAGAAAATATATTTTATTTTTAAACATTATTTGCGTGTATCGCATAAATATCATTTATATTTTAAGACAAAAGGCGTATCCTTTTAAATATAAAAACATGAACTTCATTACATTAAAAAAAATAGATATATAGTTGTATGAATCATATATATATATATATATATCTTATTATATATCTTATGCTTGTCATTCTTACTACAGATCTTGCACTACCCACGCACAACAAAATGGCAATTCTTATGATTCATGAAATGCCAAATTAAATATGGTGTCTCGGAACACCCAATTATCCGGGTAACCAAGGAAGAAAAAGAGAGGTTGCGCCGGCCATGGCGCCGGTCACTCATAATCAAAATCTTGGGTAGAACTGTTAGCTACCCGTATCTTCTTCAACGTTTAAGGAAAATGTGGAGATCGGAGGCCCACTTCGACTTGATTGCTCTCAGCCATGATTATTACATAGCGAAATTTGAATCGCTCAGAGACTATGAATATGCGAAATATGAGGGACCATGGATGATTATGGACCACTATGTGGTAGTTCAGGAATGGCAACCTAACTTCAGTCCACGGAAGAATAAGACCAGAAAAGTTCTGGTGTGGGTGCGATTTCCAGACATACCTATTGAGTACTTCGATGATGAATTCCTCAAGAAAATTGGAAAAACAGTGGGACGACCGGTTAAAATTGATAGTGCTACGAGCCTTGCATCTAAGGGGAAGTTCGCAAGGATTTGTCTAGAGATCGATATATCCAAGCCTTTAGAATCGAAATTTGTCCTAAACTTTGAGGAATGGCCTATAGAATATGAAGGAATACACTCAATATGCTTTTCTTGTGGACGGTATGGCCATCGAACGGAGCAGTGCAGCCCGGAGATACAGGCAGAAAATGAACCGGGTGAAGGAAATGCTTTACCTGAGAAAAGGCAAATCAACAACCAAGTACCAAAAGAGAAATATGGTACTTGGATGTTAGTTACCCGAAAAGCGAGAAGATACCCAAAAAGGGACAACACATCAGGAGCAGGAGTACAAAGGGGAAGATATCAGTCTTCGCCCAAGCCTAACCAAGCTGCAGATAATAGTATAGGAGTGCAATCTAGTTTTGCCTCTTTGGATGGACTGGAGGATACTGGAATGGAGCATGATCAAAGAGAGCAAGGAAGGAGCCCGACAGCACAACAGACTGGACCTACACTGCCCAGAATTAGAACCAGACGAAACAAGACACCAGACCAAAATGAACAGAGAGGGGTGGCGAATGAGATGCCAAACAATGGGACACAAAGGGACATACCAAGGCAACCTGTAGCAGCCACTCGTGGAGGATTCAGAGGCCAATCGAGCCAAAGACCGATGCCTAACCGAGCCGCTGCTGAGGACAGCCACACAGTAGTAAGAGGATCAAACAAAGGAAAGAACATAACTACTACCCAGGTCCACCATACTGAGGACCACCCAGAATCTTCATACATGGCTGGACTAGAGAAGGCATACATGGATGATCCACCAGATACTGCCCACACCAACCGAAATGTTGATCTTGACGAACCACCGGATGTGGCCTTGCAGGAGCAAGAGGATTTTATGAATCAGGATGGTGATGTGGCACTAAGCCACATGCGCTCTTGAGCGCTCTTTTGTCCTCTGTTTTTATGATATTTATTGTTTGGAATTGTCAGGGTGCAGCTTCTAGTTCTTTTAAGCGCACCCTTCGTCAGTTTTGTAGGGATTCTAATCCCTCGTTGATATGTCTACTCGAGCCTAAGGTTTCAGGCAATCAAGCCAATAAGCTATGCAATAGCTTTGGCTTTGATGAGTGGATTAGGGTAGAAGCAGTGGGCTTTTCGGGAGGCATTTGGATCCTCTGGAAAAACTATATCAGCATTGAAATAATTAGGACTAATCCTCAATATATTTCTGTTCAGGTGAACGATTGCGAGATGGGTCCTTGGGTGTTGTCCTTAGTATATGGAAGCCCTTGCCAAAGTCTTAAAAGGAAGATGTTTGCTGAGCTTTCGCATCAGAATCTTGATCCACAACCTTCCTGGTTAGCTGTTGGAGATTTTAACGCAGTGACAGGACATGAGGAAGTGAGCAATCCAGCAAGCTTTTCATCTACCAGATGCAGCGATTTTAATGATTGGATATTTAGGCAAGGCTTAATCGATTTAGGATATGAAGGATCGAAGTACACTTGGAAGAGGGGGACCAATACAGAAACGTTCAAAGGAGCTCGGCTTGATAGAGCTCTAGGAAATTTGGACTGGAAAATTAAATTCCCGGACGCAGCAGTAGTTCATTTACCAATGCTTTGCTCAGATCACTGCCCGTTGCTTGTCAATACCAGGAAAACCCGGACAATACCCGCAAGCAGAAGTTTTAGATTTAATATGGCATGGACTACTCATGCTACCTTTCATGCTTTGGTATATGGAACTTGGAGCACCAATGATGAGTTGAAGCCAAATTTGAAGAGGATGGCAGAAGCACTCAAAGATTGGAATATTAGCACATTCGGCAACATTTTTCATAGGAAAAAGAGACTGCTAGCAAGGCTAAACGGGATTCAGCAATGCATGACAGTCCAACCAAGAAGAGATCTCCTAAAATTAGAAACAAAATTAAGGCATGAATTTGAAGAAACTCTTTACCAAGAAGAGTTGCTATGGTTCCAACGCTCTAAAGAAGAATGGATTGTGTCAGGAGACCGCAATACAAGATTCTATCACGCGGCAACATCAGCAAAAAACAAACACGATAGGATTAAAGTTCTGAAGGATGAAAACGGGCACATACTTACTGATGAAAGTGAAATAAGAGAACACGTTCAAAGATACTTCATGGCCTTATTCTCAAAGGAACCAAATGCCTGCTCACAGCCACTATTGCAAGGGGCTTTCCCGAGACTATCTACCACTGATTGGGCAGAGATTAACAAACCTTTTGGCGCCAACGAAGTTAAGGAAGCATTATTTGAAATGGCCCCATGCAAATCACCAGGGCCAGATGGGTATACAGCATGATTCTATCAAAAAGCTTGGAGCTTAGTAGGAGATAGCTTGATTAAGTTCACAGAAGAATTTTTTAGAGACGGCAAGCTGTTTCAAGGATGTAATGATACCTTCATATCCCTGATCCCCAAAGTGGGCAACCCGGAATCAATAAAACAGTTTCGACCAATCGGGCTTTGTAACGTCGCATATAAGCTCATAACAAAAATGATGGCAGTAAGGTTAAGAACCATCCTCAGCAAGTTGATCGGCCCATTTCAAGCTAGCTTTGTGCCGGGCAAACAAATCACAGACAATATCCTAGTTTATCAAGAGGCCTTGAACTCAATGAAGACTAAAAAAGGAAAGGTAGGATGGATGGTGATGAAAATAGACCTTGAAAAAGCTTATGATAGACTCTCTTGGAGTACAATCGAAGACACATTGGTAGAGATTGGCTTCAACCAAACATGGACAAGGAATATCATGCATTGCATCTCCTCACCTAGGATGGCAATACTTTGGAACGGGCAGCAAACAGATTGGTTTCACTCGGGAAGGGGAATTAGACAGGGAGACCCTCTATCCCCTCTACTTTTCGTTTTATGCATTGAAAGATTCAGTCACATTATTCTTAACTCCGTTAGACAAGGTAGATGGAAAGGGATAAAAATATCTAGACTTGGCCCTTATGTTTCTCACCTTTTGTTTGCAGACGACATGACCTTATTTGGGGAAGCAACAGTAGAACAAGCAGTTGAAATGAAGAGGTGTATTGATCTATTTTGCATGAGTTCGGGGCAGAGAGTAAACTACCATAAATCGTCAGTGTTTTTCTCCAAAAATACTAATGAAGAGGTGCAAAAAAGAATCGTTGACACCCTCGGCATCCCTAAAGTTACCAACTTAGGAAAGTACCTGGGAGTCCAGTCCATTCATGGGAGGCTCAAACAAGATTCATTTGAAGGTATCATCGATAGAATCCGGTCCAAATTGACTGGTTGGAAAGCAAAATCACTTTCACTTGCAGGAAGACATGTGTTGGCACAGTCAGTCCTATCTACGGTCCCATTTTATGCCATGCAGACCACCCTCTTACCGAATGGAGTGATATCAGCCATAGAAAAATTAATCCGGAGCTTTATATGGGGAGGTGACAGTGATGGCAGAAAAGCTCACCTGGTTAATTGGGATACGGTAACCAAAAGTAAGGCTCATGGTGGGCTGGGAATCAAGAGGTTAGAAAAGATGAATCATTCTTTCATGGCTAAGTTGGGATGGAGAATCCTACAAGGGGAAGATAGCCTATGGATCAGAATTTTTAAGGCAAAATACCATCTTTCTGATGTTGATTGTCGATTGTGGCAAGCTAGGAGTAACATGTCCAATGCGATGAAAGGAATCCTAAAAGCCATCCCAATTCTGGAGAAAGGAATCAAAAGGCATGTGAGAAATGGACGCAACACTCTATTCTGGACACAGGAATGGCTAGAAGAAGCCCCACTACTAGAGCATGCAACCAGAACAATACCATCTTCTGATCAGGATCGACTGGTGGCCAGCTACTGGAAGGCAGATCTAGGTTGGCAGTGGGATGAGCTTACTCAGTTCTTACCGGCGGAAACACTAAACAAACTGGCTCTGTATCTCATTCATGAGGAAGAGGAAAGTAATGACAATGTATGCTGGAAAATGGAAGACTCCGGAGGATTCTCGGTTGCTTCGGCATACGACATTGCCACAGGAATGTTGGAACCAGTGGAAGCTGCAAAATGGAATAGCATATGGAAGTTGAAGGTACCCAACCGTATTCGAACATTTCTTTGGCTTGTTAAGCATGGCAGGATAATGTGCAACAGTAACAGAGCTAGGCGAAGACTAACTGATTGCGACAAGTGTGATTTATGCAACACCAAGACCGAAGACATTGAGCATGTCCTTAGGCGGTGCCCGGCAGCAGAGGAAGTATGGAAATCAATATCCCGACTTGATTATGAAAGAATGAAGGAGGCCCCCTTTCAAGAATGGTTGGAAGATGGCCTATCTGATAAAAGGAAAGGAAGAGAACCAGCAAGTAAAAGCACGCTGTTTTCCACAACCCTCTGGTGGATTTGGAAATGGAGGAACGAAAGAGTATTCAATGGATCATCGAGACCCTTACAGTATAAGATATCATGGATCAAGATGCAAGCCAAGGAGACAACAACAGCCTTTGATAGAGCCTTGGGTCGAGTTACGGCAGATGAGTCCAGCATTTGGAAGATGCTCTCATGGTCAAAACCGAAAGAGGACTTCGTTAAAATAAACATTGATGGCTCGGTGGATCTATTGACAAACAGGGCTTCTTGTGGAGGAATCATCAGAGACAATAGTGGAAGCTGGAAAAAAGGATTCATGTTTAATATGGGAAACTGCACCCCATTTGAAGCGGAATCTTGGGCACTTTTAAAGGGCATTCAGCTTGCCATTCAAATGGGAGTTAAAAAAGCTATGTTTGAATCAGATTCCTCTCTGTTGGTGAACTATATGACGGATTCAAGACAACCAACGACGGCCGCCCACAACATACTGGAAGGGTGCAAGAAGGAATTGCAAAGGTTAGAAGCCTGGGAGGTGACTAATATATCCCGTGAGCAAAACCAAGCAGCAGACAAACTGGCCAAGCTTGCGAGGAATTTTCCCAAAGGTGTCCATATACTAGATGATCCTCCTGTAGCAATAATGGGCATAGTAGAAGATGACATTATGGGATTGCCCTCTTGGCGCCATGTGTGTAATACAGTGTAAACTCTAATTGTTTGTTATGGGGTCTCCCCCCACCAAGATTTAAAAAAAAAAAGGCGTATCCTTTTAAATATAAAAACATGAACTTCATTACATTAAAAAAAATAGATATATAGTTGTATGAATCATATATATATATATATCTTATTATATATCTTATGCTTGTCATTCTTACTACAGATCTTGCACTACCCACGCACAACAAAATGGCAATTCTTATGATTCATGAAATGCCAAATTAAATATGGTGTTTTGTTCTTTTTAGATAAACTTAGAGTAAATCGATATTCTCAGTTTTTATCTTGAAAATTGTCATTGGAACTCATCATTGGCAAGGTAAATCGTCAAGTACGCTTTTAGCTTTCTTTCTTTTTCTTTGATTGAATTGTGTTACAAACCTCCCACATGTATAAACAATAGAACTGAATGATACGATATTTAAAATCTAAGACCACTTTAAGAGGAAAGACATTTAAATTTATAAATCGCACCTGAAATGAATGAGCGAAACATGCATATAAAACAAAAGCATTCAATCAATCACATAGAGAATTGATTTAGGCTATATGTGCAACAAGGTTAATCAACTTTAGAAGAAAAAAATGTATAGAAAGTGACAAGGCGAATGGAGATATACATGTAAAGCAAGTGGAAGAGAGTTGAATTGAAGTTGTACGTCTGTCATCAATATGTTTGTCCTTTTGAATCCCCCTTACGATACTCTTTTCCTATGAACCATACGTTATTTACTACTAGCTAGTACAAACCCTTGGGAGATATTGGATTTATTTTCGGAATTGAAAGTTTTATTAGCATTAAAATATTTATATCACAGCTTATTGTAAAATCTTTCAAAAGTTCTTGTTTAAGTAGTTCATAATATTAAAAACATATGGACGTTTGGTAAATAGCTGTTAGCTGGTTGTGTTAGAGGGTTTGACTAGTTGATAGCATTAACTGATGGTAGAAAACTGTTTGGTGAATTAGTTGTTACCTGATAGTTGATTACATGCAAAATGACTTTCTTAAAAAACTGATCGAAAAAACTGCTTTGAGCAGTTTTTTGAATTTTAGCATTTTGGAACAATAAGCTGTTACAGATAGTAAATTAATTAAACACTCATATTGATTGTTTAACTAAGTCAAACAAGTAATAGTGATCAAATAAGTCAAATTTAGTTAATAAGCTAACTATGTTACCAAACAGGATCTAAAGATCACAAATTCAATCCCCAATAGTTTTTTTATCAAATAAACATGAATATAGGTAAAATAGACCACTAATAACATACCGCAAGGTTGGAGGATATGTTTCACTTAAATTTTACTAATGCAATTTGAACTGAAACTAGATTAATTTTACATGTTTGGAATACCGAATTCTACACCTAAAAATTTAAAAAAAAAAATAATAATAATCATAAAAATCTCAAATGGTGGTCATTACTTTTATGGACTAGGTGAATGGTACCTTATAATATGCACCACACATATAGATCGGGCAATCCAAATCGATAATGTTATTCTGGGCTGAGTCTCGAATTGTGGAAATTTAATACAATTTACATGTATTTTTATTCTGAAAGTTAAAACGAATCATTAGTTAAGTCAATTAACTACTTATTAATGTTTTATTACGTCTCATAACACGAAGTAGTAAAATAAATAATTATTTCTTAGATATTTTCACAAAAAAAAAAAAAAAAAAAAAGTTAGAATATGTAAATACATTTTTTTTTACTCTTTTACAATGCTGCATGTGTCAAATTAGGAAATTTTTAATTATTTGACATCATTTGATCAGTTCATATTGTTTGTTCACAAGCTAATATCATTTGAACTTGTTGAAAATGCTAATAGAGTCAAACTTGAAACATTGTATTATGACCTTATAGTCAGATAGTCTCATGAGAATGTATGCGTGCGTGGACTAATTTTATTTGAACTTGAGAATGCTAATATAACCGAATTGAATTTAATATAGTTACCAAACCTATTATTCGACAAATTTGGTTAGAGTTACGTTGTCTCAAGATTATCATTATCATACTTACATTACCTAGCTAATCTTAAATGAATTATATTGAACCAAACACTCATATCCTTAAGAAAAATAAATTAAAGCTATATCAAAAACGGTAGGTTAATTTTGAGGAAAAAAAAAAAAAAAACGGTAGGTTTTGCCGGCAGAAATGAAAGAAAAAAGATCGTACCAATAATATGATTTTGTATTGACCTTCCAACTAGAA